GGCGGGGGGACAGCAGAGGGAGGGGGGGGGCCGCACCGATCATCGCTAAATACAAGTGATCCGCCGGCTTTACAGCCGGCGGATCGCATGTATATTAACAGGCATCGCTGCCTGTTTTTAAATTGCGGCCAATTCCCGCTCGAGCTCGCCCGGCGGCGTGCGCAAGGGGGCGTGTCTGAGCGGACGTCTAAAGACGCCCGCTCAGATCTAGAGAGCTCCTGGCAGTTAAACTATGGTCTGGGACCCATTTTGGGTTGTGGACACGTTTGAATGGGTCACCATTTGATCTGATGAAGGGGGCGTGACCCCGGAAACGCGTCATCATACAGCACACAGTCTCCTGCTGACACATAGACACGGCTGTGCAGCTTTCATAGACTTCACCTTGGGTCCATGGACTTAACCTATATACTTTTTATACTTCTTTCATGAATTTTGTGAGTATGTTTTAAATTTACCTTCTATTCTGATCTTATATTCTGATCTGTGTTTTTTCCCTAGATTTACAGTCTCCCCAGCTGATTTGGGGCAGCATCCTACAGACACACACTTTTTAAACGTGTTTTTAAACGTGTTTTTTATTTACTCATTCACCAATCTTTAATTCAATTTTCAAACAGACTTTGATTCTAATTTTATTCATGTGTACATTGGTTTGTACTGGTTGAGCAGTCCTCTCTGGCGCTTTTTTGTTTTTTTCTGTAGGGTCACCATTTGACTTTGCATCCAAACAAAAAAATCAGATCAATATCAAGTGATAGCACACTGGCTATGAATAATGGCACAGACATGTACAGGAAGCTAAAGCACGTGGGAGGTGGGGAGGGAGGTTGAGGAGGCAACTCTCAAGACCAAATTGTAAGGTGAAGAGACCCTGCACTAGTTGGAAATGTGTACTACTAAAAGAAATACGACAAAGATGTTACTTAGCTTTCAGAAATTGAGAGGAGCACCTCCAATGGGTTCTGTATGAGAAGGTTCTTAGTAATGAAACCCTTACATTTAACAAGCTAAAAAGGCATTTTTAGTAAAATACCCACAGTAATAAAACAAACCCTGGCAATTCTTTAGTGCAAAGTGGAAAGCTTTAACAAACAGTGGAATCTGATGCAGAATTAGACAGAAAATGTTGGTAGCTAGCTAGCGTCATACCACCAGTTTAGGCAACATTTTACAATAGTTTTTATGTGCAGGCCTTGCTCTTTCCTATGATGCATTAGGAATACAGAGCTGCATTAATAATTACTGTTTCTGTATATTTTTTAATATTACGTGGCTATTGCTTGTTTATTTTGTATGGATTTTTGGGATAAAATTATCATCTTGGGTCCCAGTATAACAACCGTCTCCAACTTTCCATAATTGTTTTTTCACTTGCAATGTGCCTCTGAACTTTCTAGCAAATGTGACCACTTTAAAAGAGTCAATTTCCTAGCACCTGCTCCATTCTTGCAAGCTATAGCCTCTCCCCTTCTAGAAGTGTCTAAATATTGTTTGTGCTGGAAGCTCCTCTACCCCTTCCATGACCGCCGTACATTACATTTTAGCAGCCGAGGGAGGAGTAAAACAGATTATTATAGAATTAAACATGCGTGATAGCAATGAGTCTTCTGGGGCTGCTGACATCCAAAATGGAGGTATCCAGCAGCAGTCTCAGGCCTTTTAGATGTCTACACAAGGGAGGCTTTCTACAGGTAAACAAAGAGCCTAAAATACAATAGATGCACATATAAACTTATGGGAGGATTGTAATTGGCAGGTTCTTTTTAAAAATATTTGAGTGTCCATAGCCTGGACACAGTTGTACTTCAAAGTTAATCATCATTCAGAATAATATTTCAGATTTGAGTGGTTGCTGGCAAGATGAGTCTTTTGTTGGTTTCTTACGTTCTTCAGGGATCGAGGAAGAGAGACGTCACCACTTGAATTCCCAGTTCTGGTTTTCTAACTGTCATGGCTGGCTATAACAAAGCCAAATTATGGTGTTTCCCTGTCCTGATAGATTCTCAAAATGTTGAATATATAAATAGTTGGGACACATAACTCTTGTGTTCTGGCTGTGTGGTAGAAAACATATATCCAAAATACTCCCTGGAAAAAGCTCATTACTGGAATCCCCAACCAATGTAAGAAGCAGGAAGATGATTCAAATACTCAATGCCTAGCCAAAACTGAAATATCACTGAACTGGATGGATTAGGTCTATAACATTTCTTCATTATTTGTCCTAAAGATGACAAGACGGTATGCTGAAGAACCATTATATCTACAATGTAAAACTACTGGTTTCCATTGCTGCAGGAGTGCTGAAAATTCTGCTTGTTCCACAGTGTCTAATGTAACTTGCTCTGGAAATGCATCCAAAATTCTTCAGCAAGAGCAATATGTCCTTTCTGAATTTAACGCCGACAAATGCATAGAGGATTGGGTTGATGCAGCATCTAGTAAATGCCAAATTGCTGGTGATGATGATGGCAATGTCTTTACGCTTTCTCACTTCACAGCTCATCTGCTTGCTTCCTATGAAGTCAGTAGTCTCCATGAAAGTGACTAACGTGTAAGGGAGTTGGAAGACCACGAACACTAAGACAAGTGAAATGATGACCTTCATGGCTTTGTGCTTCTCAAAGCTCCTACAAGAGTGTAGGGTTTTAATAATGACAGAGTAGCACACAATCATCACACAGAAAGGAACAATGAAGCCAAGGACAATTTGAAAGAAGTTACTCATACTCTTTACTGTACTGGTGACCTCTTCTGGAAAGATCATTTTACAGATTTCAAAACCATCTAGATTTTTTGACTTACTGTAGATGAACTCAGGAAGGCTAAGGAAACTTGATGCCACCCAGACGACAAAAGAGATCCATTTGCTGTGTTTGATGGATTTTTGGCGCCTTGTATGCGCCTCCACAGCTAGAACAATTTCAATATACCGGTCCACACTGATGCAAGTTAGAAACAGGAATCCGCTAAAGAAGTTAATGGAGAACACACCTTGTACAACCTTACACATTTCGTTGCCAAATACCCAGCCATTTATAGCACTGGTGGTCCAAAATGGAAGTGTCATGAGCTGGAGGAGGTCAGCTATTGCAAGGTTAATGAGATAGATGTCAGTCATAGATTTAACCTTCCGGGAGAATCCATATGTAAGGATAACCAAGGTGTTGCCAGACAAGCCAATCAAAAATACAAGCATTTGCACAAATGGTTGAAAGATTCTGCTGAATTCTGTAATGCCACTGACTTCACAGATCTCTGGAATTTCATAGTCAGATGAAACAAAGTAATCGGTTGTAAACTGGGGGCTGTCAGAAAACTGTAAGAGAAGAAAAGAAAATTAGACTTTACCCATATCACTGCCTGTTTTTGTATTCTGACCTGCACAGATTTCTGTCACTTTCTTTCAGTTAGAACAACAATTTGAATGTTTACAAACAATGTAACCCAGTGATGTCTTAGAATTTAGCTGCATTTATCTTTCTGACCATTTTGAATGTTACACCCATATTAAAAGAGAACTATGAGGTAACCTTTTTATCTCATAGTTATCTTAAGGGTCAAGGTCACGGGAGGACATATACTAGCCTCCTCCCGTGACCCAAAGCTCAGTATATAGCGAGCTATATTCTGGGAGCGCCGCAGCCGGATGGATCCCGACAATACTGTCGAGATCCACCCAGCTGGCTGATTGACCATGGGCTCTGCCTATTTAGAGGCAGAGCCAGCTGTGCCCGCCCCCTCCCCGTCCATTCCTCCAGTCAGAGTTGGAGGATCGGAGAGGGGATGGGGGGAATCTCTGCGGGGAGCTGTGACTTAGAGTCACCCCCAGGGCCGCCGTCAGGGGGGTACGGCCGATAGTCAAGTAAGGGGCCCAGGCCTGCATGAGGGGCCCAGGAACCTTACATAAGTATCGGCCGACCGTACAGGTGACTGGACAGGAGGTGGAGGCGGCCGGGCCCCCGCAGCCCAAGAGGAAGATGGGGCCGCACACTCGAGATCCTCACCTGGGGTGCTCTGTGCCTCCGGTGTCCCCCTGCAACTGTCCCCGGTGTCCCCCTGTGACTGACCATACATTAGGTTTTCAAAAATGGCCACCGCGAGTAGCCCCCATTTCATTTAATATATTTCCGAAACGGCAATATATTAAATGAAAATCATTCCCTGGTGGTCCAGTGGAGAATCAGTATGAACTGCATCTCTTGCTGATGCAGATCATACTGATCGCTCCCTCGTGGTGCTGCCACTGACATACAGATTAGTATGTCTGCATCAGCCTGAGATGCAGATCACACTGATCCTACACTTGACCATCAGGATAATCCAAGTGCCACACTGGACCCCAGGAATGCAGTCCCCCCTTCCTGCAAAACAGGTAAGCAGGGGAGGGGGACATTTTTAAATAACTATTGTTATTAGTTGTGTGTGTGTGTTTTTATTGTGTGTTTTTTTAATGTTTGTGAGTGATTTTTTTCTTTTTAACCTCCCTGGCAGTATGATTATTATTTTTTTTTCCTTTTTCTGTTCTATCTGTTTTTTTGTTTGTTTTTAACTTTTAAACATCCCGCCGGTTCTGTCCTCCGGCGACGCGGACGCTCACAAGGGACGGAACCCTTAAGACAGATGTCGGCATCGGCCGGAGGACACATCGGGGATCGCGGACAAGGTAAGATACGCTACTCTGTATTCCCGAGTGTGGCTCGGGGTTACTACTTATGGTAGTGAAATTAACCCCGAGCCACACTTGGGATTACCGCCAGGGAGGTTAATTAATGAAGCTATGTGTGTGTGTGTTTTTAATGAGTGTGTCATGTGTGTGTGTTTTTTTTAACCACTTCCCGCGGGTTCATGTAAATGTACGTGCTCCGCTGGAAGTTGTTATACCAAGAATATTCTTGGTACCGTTTTAAAGCCTGTTCACACCACTTGCAGTGCGTTCCGGCCGGAACGCACTGCATCGCATTGCGGCCTGCTCACTTTTTGGCCGGGCAGGATGGGGTCTGGCGGACCATTGAAGTGAATGGCGCCGTAGTCACACCCTCTGGCCGCAAGGCGATACCCCGCACGGGATTGCAAGGCACATTGTGCATGCAGTGCATTTGGGTGCGGTGCGATAAAAATGCTGCAAGCACTATTTTGATCACACCGCACCCGAACACACTGCAGGCACCATGTGCCTTGCAATCCCATGCGGGCAATCGCATTGCAGCCGGAGGGTGGCCGACCGTACAGGTGACTGGACAGGAGGTGGAGGCGGCCGGGCCCCCGCAGCCCAAGAGGAAGATGGGGCCGCACACTCGAGATCCTCACCTGGGGTGCTCTGTGCCTCCGGTGTCCCCCTGCAACTGTCCCCGGTGTCCCCCTGTGACTGACCATACATTAGGTTTTCAAAAATGGCCACCGCGAGTAGCCCCCATTTCATTTAATATATTTCCGAAACGGCAATATATTAAATGAAAATCATTCCCTGGTGGTCCAGTGGAGAATCAGTATGAACTGCATCTCTTGCTGATGCAGATCATACTGATCGCTCCCTCGTGGTGCTGCCACTGACATACAGATTAGTATGTCTGCATCAGCCTGAGATGCAGATCACACTGATCCTACACTTGACCATCAGGATAATCCAAGTGCCACACTGGACCCCAGGAATGCAGTCCCCCCTTCCTGCAAAACAGGTAAGCAGGGGAGGGGGACATTTTTAAATAACTATTGTTATTAGTTGTGTGTGTGTGTTTTTATTGTGTGTTTTTTTAATGTTTGTGAGTGATTTTTTTCTTTTTAACCTCCCTGGCAGTATGATTATTATTTTTTTTTCCTTTTTCTGTTCTATCTGTTTTTTTGTTTGTTTTTAACTTTTAAACATCCCGCCGGTTCTGTCCTCCGGCGACGCGGACGCTCACAAGGGACGGAACCCTTAAGACAGATGTCGGCATCGGCCGGAGGACACATCGGGGATCGCGGACAAGGTAAGATACGCTACTCTGTATTCCCGAGTGTGGCTCGGGGTTACTACTTATGGTAGTGAAATTAACCCCGAGCCACACTTGGGATTACCGCCAGGGAGGTTAATTAATGAAGCTATGTGTGTGTGTGTTTTTAATGAGTGTGTCATGTGTGTGTGTTTTTTTTAACCACTTCCCGCGGGTTCATGTAAATGTACGTGCTCCGCTGGAAGTTGTTATACCAAGAATATTCTTGGTACCGTTTTAAAGCCTGTTCACACCACTTGCAGTGCGTTCCGGCCGGAACGCACTGCATCGCATTGCGGCCTGCTCACTTTTTGGCCGGGCAGGATGGGGTCTGGCGGACCATTGAAGTGAATGGCGCCGTAGTCACACCCTCTGGCCGCAAGGCGATACCCCGCACGGGATTGCAAGGCACATTGTGCATGCAGTGCATTTGGGTGCGGTGCGATAAAAATGCTGCAAGCACTATTTTGATCACACCGCACCCGAACACACTGCAGGCACCATGTGCCTTGCAATCCCATGCGGGCAATCGCATTGCAGCCGGAGGGCGTGACTACGGTGCCATTCACTTCAATGTCCCGCCACGCCCCCTCCAGCCCGGCAAAAAAGTGAGCCGGCCGCAATGCGGGCAGTGCGTTCTGGCCAGAATCGGACCGGAGCGCAATGCTAATGGTGTGCACTAACCCTAAGCCCCGCGTCCAGTAGACATGTGCGATTCGTTTTGTAAAAACTAGTTTTCTGGACGAAATTCGTTAGCGGTCGTCTGTTCGCATTTTCGTTTGCGGACGAATTTTCATTGCAGCAAAGTGACAATTTAAAAAAAAAATGGACATGAACATGAAATGGAAATGAACATTCGTACAGACTACCGCTAACGAACAAGATGAAACAAAAAATTTTTTTTGCCAGTGCACATGTCCAGTGTCCAGCGGGTCACGAAGCCCTGCGTCCAGCGGGTCACGAAGCCCTGCGTCCAGTGGGTAATGTGACTGTGGGGGGGGACATTAGAGTGTAAGCTCCTCTGTACAGAGACTGATGTAA